TTGTAACGTATATATATATACTCGACAACAAAATTAAAGCATCACCCATTCTGATCACTAAAAATAGGCAAATTTTAAGAGAGTGTAATTTCGTCAAAAATGATCGTATCGGAATTATCAAAAAAGCATTTTAAAGCTTAAAGTCTCTACTTACGACATCCATAATTCATTAAATTACTTACTGATTCTTTACAAAGCTGCACGGATGCAAATGGAGATGCATCAAATCTAAAAATTTTTTACCAAGTTTGCGAAGTTCCAAAAAATAAAATAAAAATCGCACGCAAATGAGGTTTACGTGGTCCAAAAGCGTGAATCTTTATCTTTAATTTGAGCACCCGATCAGCATTGTGCGATTTTTTTTCACCGAGTTATTCAACATTAAAGCAAAAATGACCTCGTATCTCGCCGCGTGCCTGCATTCAGCGGTATGGCGGACGGATACGTGTTTATTCGCCAATCTTCAAAAATTAATATCTCGTTAACGGGCGGTTAACGATTGCGAATTTTGCAAAATGGTAGAGGACTTTTCTGTTCAATTTAATCAGCTCTACCAGCCTACGAGATTTTGGGCGGTTATTACCGGACACCCTGTATATATGTAAAATTAAAGTAATTAAAAAATAATGAAACTAAAAAGTAAAATAAACGTTCTACTTTTTACACAATGGTCAATTTTTTTAAGCATTATATTTTTCACAACTTAATCACGTGAGAAATTAATTTAATTCGCGCGACGAATCTCATTTAATACTAATTCTTCTTGATATTTCTTGTCGATTTTTTTACGTGAGAAAAGTATAGGAAAGACCGGGGCTCGTTGGCACAGTTTTCACAATTTAGACATTCCTTTTTCTAAAAAACTATAATATTTATTATCATTAAACTTTATTAATATGATAGAATGAACCTTTCTCTACATTTTCATGACAGAAACGATTCTGTATACTATATAGTTTCTTTATAGTAAGTGAAATACGAACATGCCGCGATGTAGCCAATTTACTCCGATAGCCGGGTAAGTTGACACATATAGTGTAAGTTGCTTAAGCGACAAATTCCATATTCAGTTATTGAAAACGTAATAGAAGTAAAAACAGATCGCAGATATGTATTTCTTAAAAAACGATCACATCTTTTAGAGTTATTTTATGTTCAAATAGCAAAATGCTATTATAGAGTAATAAATGTAAACTATTTTAGATGTAGTTTATTTCAATACAAGGAAATGTAAAAGGCTTCATGGTTATTTCGTGGTATATAAGTGCAGTATACAGGCTCTGTAAAAGGATAGAGTATAGCAAAATACAAATGCTTAAGTCTTTCGTATACTTTATTTAGTTTATTGTTTCGTTTATCCCATCTGTTTTGAGATATACGGTATTTTTAGCACGTGGGATTTATGCCGTAGCGCAGTCATATAATCGACCCCTATTTTTATAAGACAAAATGCAAGGATTTAAAGAATTTTCTTTTTTAATATAAAAAAATAAATAAATCGGATTCCTAATTTTTTTATAATGGTAAACAATACAAAGTTTTTA